ATTATTGATCAAGTCCACTTTTATTCAGTTTTCCGCTTTATTAGTGTCCTTTCTCTTCCAGGATCCCATCCAGAGCACCCCATTACAGGTACTCGTCATGTCTGTTACAGGCTCTCCTAGACTGTGAGTTTCCCATACTCTCCTAGTTCTGGATGACCTTGGCAATTTTGATAAGTGGTCAGGATTCTGTAGAATGTCCCTCCTCAGGGGTTTAATGTACTTCCCTAATCAGACTGAGGTTGTGGCTTTGGAGGAAGACCCAAGAAATGCCGTTCCCATCATATCAAGGGTATAAACTAACCGCATGACCTCTCAATGTTGATGTGGACCTTCAGGCCCTGGCTGGGGAGGTGCTTTCCAGACTTCTCCACTGCAATCTTTCCCCTCTCCATGCGCTAGCCCTTAGAAGGGAGTCACTAAGCACAGCCCACATGCAAGTAGAGAAGGACAATTTTTATATTTTTTCAAACTTCATGAAATTAAAACCTCTTTTATAATTTACTTTTTTAAAATAAAGATTTGTTTGTTAAAATGAACACCAATATATTTGACAGGAGGTGTTTTGCAGCTGTACTTCATCTAGGAGAGTAAGAAATAGATGTCCCTTTATCACTGTGCTTCTATCAAGTTGATGGGTTTTTCTCTGAAATAAAGCAAATACCATCATTAGCTCTTCTGCCCAGATCATGGTTGGCAAATACCTGGCATCTACTCGTGCACCCAAGGCAGATAATGGTAATTGATAATGGCTTGTAAAATGCTGATGTAGCTCTACACATAATAACACAGAAGGATGATGATCATCCAAAGCAAGTTCTACAGACACAGCAACAGAAGGTTCCATTTACATAAATTTATTTGCATCAGAAAAAGCCTACAAGGATAAAGAGGAAACTGTTCATGGTGATTATCTCTTAGGGACTAGGATGATTTTACTTCTTTCGCTTTTGCTTCTTTATTTTCCTATAATGATCATGTAATACTTCTATGCCACATAAAAATTCTAGACCAAAAAAAGGTATATATTGTCAATTTTAGTCAATTTCCCCCATATGAAGCAGACACATTCCTGTACCTGGGTAAAACAAGGTCCCAAAGGCTCAAACACTTAGCCACGTTTCACTCCAAAGTCACCAAAGAGACCCAGCTTTATCCTATTCTCTATAGATTACCTTTCTTTCATTATCCAAAAAGGACATATTCTGCCTTCTAGAGTTACTCCTGTCTATAGCTGTTATGGCCTGTGCAATCTGAAGGTAGAGAACATTTTGTTTATTTATTTATTTTTATTTAAATTCAATTAGCCAACATACAGTACATCATTAGTTTCAGGTGTAGTGTTCAATAATTTATCAGCTGCATATAACACCCAGTGCTCATTCCATCAAGTGCCCTCCTCAGTGCCCATCACCCAGTTACCCAATTCCCCCCACCCACCTCCCCTCCAGCAACCCTCAGTTTGTTTCTGAGGTTAAGAGTGGTTAAGAGTCTCTTAAGGTTAAGATTCTCTTAAGGTTTTTAGAGAACAGTTTTAGAACTCCTGAGTAACTGCAGGTATGCAATTTCCTAAATTAGACAAGACTTGATGGACAGACACACAGGGACCCATGAGTTATCTTTCTCCACTGTCCATTCTGGCCCCACTGGGGACAGCCCATTGCTGGCCAGAGGCTCTAAGTGCCCAGGGGCCCAGAAGGAGGCAAAGCTGGCCAATGTGCCAGCTCAAGGGTATCCAAACAGACTGGAACAAGCAGAACGGCCTGTCTAAGGGGCTCTTCCTCGTGGTCTGCTTCACAAATGGAAAGAGGGAAATTGTACTTTCATTGGGACTTCAAGAGAAACAGAAGCACGGCAGGCAGTACCCAATTTTCTTCATGGGCATCGCCAGCAACAGGGAGGAACCTTCTCCAGCATTCCCTGAGCTTACTCCAGTCTTACCTCACTCTTCCTTAAAAAGCTGTTTCAGGGAAGGCTACAGACGGATTTGCCCAGAAGTGATGGAGCTCCACAGTTTGCTGTGGCTGCCGCCACCCCCACCCCGCAGCATCAATCCTTCTGCAGAGTTCTCAACAAGCCATTCAGGGGCCCTGTGTTAGCAGAGCGCACCTCGCCATCAATCGCAGCAACTCCACGCTAACTACCCAGGAAAGAGTAAACCACATCATTAAGGCTCGGTACTTTCAACCCTTCCCAGCAATTGGGTGCCACTTAATTCTTTTGAAAATGAAATTTCACACGGAACGGTGGAGAATGGAGAAAAAGAAAAGGCGATTCTGCGAAGTATCAAAAGATCCTGGGGTGCCTGTTTCCAAAGAGAAGAACTTTTGAGTGAAGGGAAAAGAGAGAAAGGAGAACAAAGCTCCCTACAAACACACCCGATCTGGGCCAGGCGGCCCAAGGGGTTCTGTTTTTAGGTCGAGCAAGGATGTTTCTGCAACTGGGGCTATGTCTGCAGATAAGAGTCTAGAGGTTGAAGCCAGGGACCTAGCTGGCTGCCTGTCCCCATTCCCACACAGTGGGGGGCCATGACCCCCTGACTGCTGGGGACCAGGGTGGCTGCCCAGCTTCCAGTCCTTCACGGCTCTGCAGTGGGACCAGGCAGGACAGCAGCCGCAGATGCCACTGGAGCCAATTTCATTCCGAGACACACAGGCCCACCAGGGAAGAGCTAAAAATAGGAGCAAGCAGGCAGAGTTCACGGTTGCAGGCAAGAGCAGAGGGGCCGGCTTGGTCATATTCTCTCCTCCGATCCATCAGCTGGGACAACGGCACTTCCACAGCCCAGCACCACAGAACACCGATGAAAAGGCGAGCTCAGGGATTGCGGCTCCACACCCTTATCTGGCAGGCTTTGCAGAGGGTCCTTGACTTCACCTGCCTCGCTCATTCACAGGTCCACAGCAAAGCCCAGAACCAGAGTGAGCCCAATGCCTGGGGGCCCCAAATTCACAGGGTATCTGTCCTCAGGATCTTCACTGGAGCTTATTTTGAATTTCACATTCAAAGTTAACAAGTTTGCTGATGTTATTTCCAATGCCCTGGCAAACCCTAAGCAGTAAATCAGAAAAAGCAGGAGAAATACACCAGTCACAGACGCTTTACCGGGAAGTGAGAGTTGACAGTTCAAGAAGAAATCTACAAAATGCAGTCAAGAGAACTAAGAGAATCCAGCACCTAAAACTATCTCTAGGAACAGACCCTAAGGACATTACTGGTGGTGACCTTGGCTGCAGAAAGCATCCACTGCTCATTCCACAGACACATACAAGTGTACTTAACACACACCACTGTATGGATGAGATTCTGGCACTAAGTGTCTGCATAAATACACATGCACACATTCACACACACATATGTAACTTTTATTTCCTGGTATTTTATTTATTTTTATGTTTTGGTGTTTTATTTTTTTATTCTTTTTTAAAAGATTTTATTTATCTACTCATGTGAGACACAGAGAGAGAGAGAGGCAGAGACACAGGCAGAGAGAGAAGCAGGCTCCATGCAGGGAGCCCGACGTGGGACTCGATCCTGAGTCTCCAGGATCACACCCTGGGCTGAAGGCAGGCGCTAAACTGCTGAGCCACCCAGGCTGCCCCTGTTTTGGTATTTTAAAGGGTGATCCACAAACTATTTACAAAACTCAGCTAGCCAAAATGACTCCATGCCTGAGGATTTCAGGGTATAATAATTCCAGTAGACTATTTTATTGCTGGCATGGACAGCCATGGTTTTGTCAATTAAAGGGTCTTAATGGGGGAAGCCTATTTCTTCATGGCCTTCCTTTCCAAAAATAACTAGGTTCCACCTAGAGACCATCTTTGAACAGTGTAGTATAATGTGCTGCCCCTGGACCAATACAGTCATGAGGGCCATGCATTCTTTCACAGCACAGACTAAAAAGGAAGTCCAGGTTTCTCTGAGTTCAACCAGAGGCCATGATGGAAATGGGAGCTGGGGACACACCTGGGGAAGCAAGACAGGCTGATGGAATAATTTCAGTCCCATTGTGTCATCAGAATGAAAAGGGAAACGTAACTCAAATGTATGAGCAGTTGTAAAGCAAGTGCCTATTTAGCCAAACAGCTCATCCAATATCGTGACTATTCTACACATTTCTATGATTTCATAATATTAGGGTTACAGGAGATTGGTTAAATCTGAATTGATACTAAAATGAGGAAAAAAACTGATGGATGTAACAATCACAATGTACATGGCAAGATGACACACAAACATTCTGAAGAAACAAACTCCAAGTAAGGTCAGCTCGCCATGATCCATACCTGTGGCAGGTCGGTTTATTCACGAGACTGGCAGGGCCCACCTACGACCTCCTTAGGTGCTCTGAGAGGTGACACCTGGGCAGCCAGGAGGGTGGCCAGTGACACTGAAACCAGGACAAGACAGCCCCGAAAACTATGCTGCCCTATAAGGCAGGGGCACCGGTAGCAAGCTACACCCAATACCCCGTTTTATGAAGCCCGTGTGGTTGACAGGTGTGTGGGACCTATTTTTCTGCAGGTATCTTCAATAGACCATATTTCATGTCCCCAGAAAAATGAAGACACTCATATAAAGACTGAGGATTCAACTCTATGACTTCTGAGGAATGCATCCTTCAAGCCTGAAAATCTAAATAAAAGTAAACTCCATTTCACATAGGATTAAAGAATTTCGAAAACCATGAAATCCTTTGGAAAATCAAAGGATTACCAGAATCTTGATGTTTAAGGCCATGTATAGAACTTCAGGAAAAATATTTGTTGATCACACTAATTCATACATTCTCTTGGCAAAGATCCACCTAATACTTCCAATGTGTGTGACAATGCATTAGGCTCTGGGATTCCTGAAGAAGGGCTGAGTCTGGCACCATGGAGGGTCTGAGACAGCTCTGTGGTCTATGGCCTCAGACCCTCTGGTGAAGGTGTCACAGCCCAAAGTGGCACAGCACGACCAGCCCCAGACACATGCGCACACGCTGGACTCTCCCTTACCTTTCCCATAGAAGAACTTGCGGTAATAGTAGGCTCCAAGGTCAATGTGCTCTATGATGTAGCGCTTCACCTTCTCCCTGTGAATGGGCTGGTTCTCTCTGGGCACTTCCAGGACGGAGACACCTGCGTTTGTGCAGTGGGAGCTCAGAGAGGACTCAAAGGAGCAGCCTTCCCCGGAGCTGAATGATGAAGAACTGGCCCGAGAAAGGGCGATCCTCCTGTCGCCTTCCCCGCCGGTCTCATTCCGAAAGTAAGGACAACTCAGGACGAGCTCATTGCTCTTCCCATCTCCCTCATCAGCATCCAGGTTCTCCTTGGAGTTGAGATCCTCCTTGCTCCCCAAAGGGGACTCACAGTTGCCCGTCTGGCCTGCCGGCATCTGAGTCTGGGATGCTGCCGAGGCCCCGGTGGTGATGTTTTTCCGCTTCCCCACGTTGGCCCTTGTAGCCATGGCTTCGTTGATATTAAACAAAATGCTCTGGACATCATAATGTGCAAAACACCGCTGGCAATTCCAAGGGCGAACACCCCGCTCCAGACGACCGTCTTCCGGGTCGCATGTGAACTTGAAAGTCTCATGTTCACTTTTAACAGTCCGCAGCTTCCGGAACAGGGACGTTTCCACTGATTCTGACTTTAACCTCCGTTTGAAAGGTTTATCCCTGTCTCTCCCCATTAGGAGGGCACTGTCCATGTAGTCTAATCCTGAGAGACGGACAAATTCTCCTCTAGAAATCTGTGCTGCTGCATGGAGGCTGGGAGAGATCGCAGGATCGCAGGGGAAAAACTCAGGGAACCCAAAAGGGGCCATCGCTTTGTGGTCGTAATTCTCTACTCGGTACCCTCTGAGCATTGCAAAGAAGTTCTCACCAGATAAACCCTGCCGGTCAATGGAAGACGTGCTTCCATACTCCCGGTGGAGCGCCGCCCCAGTGTTGGGGTTCACTGCGTTTTGGTCTAAGACATCTTCAGCGTCGATGTCACTGATGGTGACATCACTATTGCTTCTCTGTCTAATGGGGTGCAGTCCTCTCTGAGGGGAGTGGACAAAGATGTCTCCAATGGTGTACTTGGCCTCCACGAAGTCGAGATCAAGCTGTTCCTCTTGCTGACCATCGCTCTGGTCATTTTGCCCATTGTGTGTAATGGATGTGACACTCTCGTAACTGGTCTGAGACCGGCTTTCCCACAGCGTCTTGCAGGCTAGCTCCTTGGAGCAGTCCTTCTTGGGAGGCCACTCACACACTCTTGCTCTCACACCCATCTTGGGCACAGCTGGGGTTCCATTTGCTGGACCACCACCCTCAGTGGAATTAGAGGCAGTTAAAGAAGTGGCAGGGCCCATGTTGCCATTAATGGCTTTAAATTTTCGAGCAAAATAATCATCAGACTGCATGATTCTGGGAGGATCTTTGAACTTCGATGAGGCTCTACCAAGCTTGTGCTTCTCTTCTTGTGACTGCCTTGGGTCACTCATGTCTGCCGAGCCAAGAAGCTCCAAGTCTCACCAGCAAGATGGAGGTGAATCTAATTACATCTTTATCCACAATGCAATTGTAAATGCAGATATAAAGGCTTCCTCTACAGTTGTGCTTTCTCTTTTTAACCAAAAGCAAACAACATCCTCAGAGGATGGTTTCTCCAGAACCAGCTTCCTTCTCAGTTGCTGAAATAATTTTGTATGTCTCTGTCCTTTTCAAGAGCATTCCTTAAGACATCTGGCCTTCAGTATTTCCTTCACCTGAATCAAAACACAGAAAATAACCATTAACAATTTTTGTAGCTCAAGTTCAAGACATTTTACATATGGTTTCTTCTCTGTCCTCCTCTCCACCTTCTGCCCATCCCCAACTCCTCCAAACTGTCCCGAAGTTTCATGACTCTATTCTTCATACTGCTCCTTCTCTCCAGAACATTCTGCCTTCTTGCTATACTTTGCTGGCTAAAATTTATACCACAGAATCAAGCAGGATCCTCTCCAAGAAACTTTCCCTCAGCCCACATCTGAGCAAAGAGTTCTCCTTTTGTGTTCCCACAGCGCTGGCAACTACACTTCTGGTAGCAGATCTCCTTATACTGACCAATCTCCTCCACTAGCTAACTTCAAGCTCCTCTAAGTCAGGAACATAACATGCCTTTCATCTCTATATCAACATTATCTATTAATGTGGCATGGCTTAAATTAGGTAATCAAGCAACATTTCAATTAGATATAGAGTAACAGAAAGGTCATGTTATTTTTTTGAGTATTATTATACTTTCTTTCAAAATATTTAAACTCAAAATGTCCAGCAGCAAAATGAGTTTTTAGAATGTGGTCTCTGCAATCAAGTAAGCAACTTATAGAGATCCCCATTAAAGTGGGAAGGAGCTTGAAGAATTTGGTATCTGAATAAGTGTAACTTTCTAGTTCATCTCAGCACTAGCAATTTAACAAATATGCAGGGTAAAATAAAAGCATAATTTATCTTTGTGGTCAGTAGAAACTTGACTTCTAATTGACTTTTTTTTCTTTAATCACAAATAACTTTTTCAATTCATTCTATCTTTAGACAAAAATATTTTCCAGGTATGCAGTATTTTCCCAACTTATGGGAACCTTACTACTTGCTGGCATAAGAATGAATGAATGAATGAATGAATAATTATTCTGAAGTAATGATGGTAGTAAAGGTATATAACATAGCTGATTTCCCTCCATCCTCAAAGCATAAAAAACTGCAATTCACTTAGAAAATATTAAAATTCGGGGATCCCTGGGTGGCGCAGCGGTTTGGCGCCTGCCTTTGGCCCAGGGCACGATCCTGGAGACCCGGGATCGAATCCCACATCGGGCTCCCAGTGCATGGAGCCTGCTTCTCCCTCTGCCTGTGTCTCTGCCTCTCTCATTCTGTGTGACTATAATAAATAAAAAAAAATTAAAAAAAGAAAATATTAAAATTCCAACTAGTTGAAGAGTATTAGAACTCTTTCCACTGGATTCTTTTTTAAAATATTTTATTTATTATTCATGGGAGACAGAGAGAGGCACAGACACATGCTGAGGTTGAGAAGCAGGCTCCCTACAGGGAGCTTGATACAAAACTCGATCCCAGGACCCCAGGATTATGACCTGAGCCAAAAGCTGATGCTCAACTACTGAGCCACACAGGTGCCCCAATGGGCTCTTTTTATTTTTTTTAAGTAATCTCTATATGCAACGTAGGGCTCAAACTCATGATCCCCAGATAGAGAGCTGCATGCTCCACCAAACTGGGCCAGCCAGGTCCCCTCCAAAGGATTCTTTTTTTTTTTTTAAGATTTTATTTGTTTATTTGAGAGTGAGACAGAGCACAAGCAGAGGGAGGGGTAGAGGGAGAGGGAGAAGCAGACTCCCCACTGCAGGAGCTCCATGCAGAGCTCGATCCCAGGACTCTAGGATCAGAAATCTAGGATCACAACCTAAGCCAAAGCAGCCATCCAATGGGTTCTTAATGGCTTTGAGATGAACATGCAGTGGTCTACTGGAATAACTGATATTTTCTTATCACAGCAACCTGCTTCTCCCGCATTGGAAAAAAAAATCAGTATCGGCATGGTAAGATGCTGTCTGTTCCCAGGGCAACTTCATAACGGAGGAAATATAATGATATTTTAGGATGTGGTAAACAGAGGGAAAGCACAATCAGATGTTCAGTGCAACAGACCAGTGTCTGTCCATAGTTCTCAGAAAGAAGAGAGATGACTGCATCTTATCTATTTCACTTGGAATCATTGTGTTTAAAAGGATCACAGATGATTCTGAATTATAGTTATTTCCTCTACAATTTACACTATTATCAAATCCTTTTCTGGAAACTGAAAACTGACAACTGATATATGAAAGAAAACAACTTTTTGCCTAGAATCTCTCTGTTCAAATGGTATCTGATTTACTAGATCAGCTTCTACATAATCTATAAATTCTAAGGATAATTCTGCTGCTTAGAGAACACAACAACATTTGAAAGCTTACAAATTAGTTCTGTACCAGGCATCGGAAGTAATTTGTGAATTCTTAGCATTAATAGGACATTTATTTTCCGGTATATGCGATTAATTTGTAAATATCCTGTAACAGAAGGAAGAACCATGTCCACCGAAACCACCAAACTGCGTACTTTCAAGAAACATAGTCAGCAACCAAGTACTCGCCACCTTAAGATATTAGAACAAAATGTCCCAAAGGAAACCAAGAAAGAAGAAATGAATAAAGATTAAAGTGAAGTTAATGGAATAAGGGAAAAACAAGGTAGAAAAAGGAGAGACAAATCCAAAGGTAGTTGTTTTTTGTTTTAATATTTTATTTATTTATTCACGAGACACACAGAGAGAGAGAGAGAGAGAGAGAGAGAGAGAGAGAGAAGCAGGCTCCATGCAGGGAGCCTGACATGGGACGTGATCCTGATCCCAGGTCTCCAGGATCACACCCTGGGCTGAAGGCGGTGCTAAACCGCTGAGCCACCTGGGCTGCCCCCAAGGGTATTTTTTTAAAAAAATAAAAATAAAAAACAAAGAAATAGATCTCCTTCTCAAGCCTGAAAAAGGAAAAGAGAGAAAGAATAATATCATGCAAGTTTGGAAATGAGAAAGGAAACATGACCATATATACAAGAGATTAAAGTAAATATGAAGTATAGAAGAATTATATACTACAAGCAACTGTATAACAACAAATTTGAAAACACAGAGGAAACTAATGATTTCCTAGCAAACCACCAATTTCCAAAACTGATCTAAGAATGGAAAAAAAATTTTTTAATGGAAAATCTATTTATTTTTTTAAGATTATCTTTACTTATTCATGAGAGAGGCAGAGACATAGGCAGAGGGAGAAGCAGGCTCTCTGCTAGGAGCCTGATGTGGGACTGGATCCAAGGACCCCAGGATAATGACCTGAGCCAAAGGCAGACGCTCAACCGCTGAGCCACCCAGGCACCCTAAGTGGATAATTTAAAGACCGATGATCCCTGAAGACAACAGAAACATAACCAAACCCTACATAAAAATATGTCCAATGTATACCAGAAATCCAAAGAGCCATCTTAACCATGACTCTGCAACTCCTTTATCTGCCCATTTTTGAGACCACATGCTATTTAAAAAATTGGGGAAGGATCCCATCTTTCTTCCTTTTCCGTGTCATGGCACACACCGAAAACATCAATATTCTTCATGAAGCACACGGCAGTCAAAGCAGGAAGGGGCTTAAGACTCAGCATGTTCAAGACTCCAGCTACCCCTGGCCCAACCCCACCATGCTTCAAGCTGAGCAGGACATAGGCACATAATGGCTTTTTTTTTTTTTTTTTGGTGTCTGATGTTATTTATTTTGTCACTCTTAGAAAATCTCATTTTTGACTGGACTCAGACTTAGAGGTAGAAGCTCTCAGAGAGGACAGCCTCTTTCTCTTGGCAATCTGTTCCTGGCGTTTTTCTTTGGCCTCCTTCATTCTCTTGGCCAAAAGTTTAGCTCCCCACACAGGTAACCCTCACACCACTCCCCTGGGGTAGCTCTGGGGTTAATGCATCTGCAAGGAGATGTGTAAGACAGGAAACTTCAAAGCCAGGATTAGCAAGGACAATGCATACACTGAAAAATGAACCATAAAATGATCAGCAGTCACCAGGCTCACTCTATTTGAAAAATCAATATTCTGACAATTAACATCTCTCTACTTTTCTAACATTATCACTGTAAGAGACAGTATTAAAAACACAATATCTTTTTTTCATTGATCTCCTGCAGAAATGGAGGATAACACATTGTAAAAAAAATAAGGATTGTTATTTTTAAACATAAATAGAAACAAAAAATGGATGAATCTGAATTTTCTTATTACACTTGACAAAAGGCAGAAAAACAAGGCAAACTCAGAGCCACAAAACCCTTCCCCCAGAAATCTTCTGAGAATATTCCTTCAAAATTATGAATTTTTAATTGATGGTGTGTGATAAGAACATTAGTAGCTGTAGGTAGACAGCTACTGATTTTTCCTGTCTAGGATCTATTGCCCTTTCTTTTCCAGAATCCCTCTGGGGAATCTTAGCTCTAAAATCATTTAATTCATGTAGGGCTAACTCCACCCCCTAACACCTGACAGAGGTTTGACCAATGAAAGCACAGCATCTCCGGGCTACATTGACTGGTCCAGGGATGAGCCCAAAAGCCACCCAGCCAATGAGAGCCCAGCACAGCATTGGTGCTCTGGTGCTCTGATTCTTGGGAGGGCTCAAGTGGTAGAACAGAAACTGGGAGCCGCTGGGCCTGCCTTGCCTATGTGACTGAGGTAGGAACAAGAGCATGGAGGTCATCAAACCTCGAGAGGGAAAGACGAAATCTTAAGGACAGTGCTCTTGACTCCAGCTGGACCTGGAACCAGCTCTACCCATGGAATTTTTCAGTTGTGTGAGCCAACTAATTATTTTTTGGTTTATCCAGTTTCAGTTAGATTTCTATATAGTCCAGGTCAATTTTAAATGTTCTAAGAGGTCATATTTATATTCAATTAAAGATCAGTGACAGTAAATTCAACGACCAAACTATTTTGTACTATGTTGCAAACTGCCTGATCCATGAAGGAATGAATTGAAATTATAGTTCTGGCACTGGAATCCAATATCAAAACCAGAGTCTCTTGGGCAAGATCCCTGCCCTATTATTATAAATATACACCCTTTAACACATTTCCCGTGTCTGCTAACAATTCAAAGTATTCAAAG